CCAGTTTATAGCCAATACTGGAATACGGTTCCATTCCAGGCAGTAGAAGAGCAAGAAAACTAATAACTGTTTTGCAAAAAAATCGCTAATATTTCCTGTGCAACAAAGAAGAAGTTTCACCAACCTATTCAATACTTTACATGGACGTCCTTGGCACTAAGAAGAGCTTTTGTCTTTTCATCTAGAACACTCCACCCAGTGCCCCACCCCGGGACACACAGTGCCACACCTGTCGTCACTGGCTGCCTGCCCCGACACGCGTGGTGCTGGGACACGCGCTGCTCACACGGGGGGAGCACTGGCCTGAGCCAGCACCGGGGAATCGATTCTGGTTCCGAACAGGGGCAGCTCAGCGAGGAATCGATCCAAACACAATTGCAGTTCTCCAGTCTACCCTGGGCTTTTATTACCCTGGGCAATGCAGCCACACCTGACGACAGTCTAAAGAAAAGATTCTGCTGTTCCAATGTCAACATGATGTATCATGATACTGTCTTCCTTAGGATATTATGGGCAGTAATGTGCCGAGAGAGGATGCATATCTGTGCAGAAACAGGTCAGACAAGGCCTGAATGTACAAAAGAAAACCAGAAAGTGCTCATAAAGATGTAGCTTAGTGGCAACATAGTTTTGGAGGAAAACTATAATTTATGCAAACTCACCCAAATGAAATGGTTACTGATGGCCTTGCTAATTTTCAGTGAGTGCCAAATGAAAATGTATTTCTTTTGCTTCTTTCACTTTGTGCCTCTCTCCAAGCTGGAGATGCTGACAGAACTGCCGACCATTATAAGCTGCAATCAGGGATATGAGCTCAGTGGAAAGGGCTCTTGTTTGATGGAGATGCAGAATGTGGTCCTATCCCAGTGCACTGCCAACAGCAGGGAGGGTTTTGTCTGAGCGCTGGCACAAGAAGGCCCAGCTAAGCACCAGCGTGGCATCGTGAGGGAGTTACTAAGGCTAGCATGAGAATTTACAACCTTGTTTCCCGTGGCATTTGCTGGCTCTGAAACACCCAATACATGCTCTTAATAAGCCACTTTTCATGACAAAGTGAAGTAAACATGTGCTTAGACTTTACCTTCCGCTTGATGTTTTCCAGTAAATGTGCCTTCCCCTGCTTGAAGAAAGGGTGCTGGAATTCAATGACTGAGCTCTTCTCTGCTGTAATGATACCATTCTCCAGAGCCATCACCTTCCTGAAACCATCTGTGGAAAGGAATCAACAAAGGCATTTCTCCCAGTGCAAAGCTGACTGTTACAACATACAGCTAAAGAAAACTCCAAGGCTACCAAAATATCCACAGCACTACAGTTACTGGGAGCAGAAACTGTGAAAAACAGCCAAAGCACCTTTTGCTGGTGCTCAATGATTTCACTGCTTTGATCTTCACAGCTAGAGAACATGTCCACAGTATCATGGAATGCCTTGGCAGTCTGCATGCACAGAGGTCACCGGGTGTCCATGGGCAAGACAGTCACATCCAAACCATCGCAGCAGTCAGTTAGAAATGAGGTACGTTAGGACATCTTACATAGAATCTTATCGCAGTGCAAGCAGAGGAATGGTACACCTTCCCCTTTCATCCTCGACAACTACGTATCAAAGCAAATGCTGTCATGCACCACCATGGTCTATAGAATAAAGCAAGCCAGAGAAGTTAGTTCCCTGCCTGTGCAAATACCTGCAGCAAAGCACCTTCTCCAAGTATGGAGAATTGTCTGCATGAAGTGAGACATTGCTAGCTCTATTTCCATCACTGCTTAAGCACCACAGGGTAGAGGCAGGACAGAGCTGAGAAACCAATCCATCTCTCTCCTCGCTTAAGTTTTTAACACAGTTAATGCATTCCAGCTTCACTGTTCCCCAACAGCGTTAGCGTTACGGAGCCAGGATAGGTCCACCAGGAAAGGACGCTGCCACTGCATTGCATGTCTTCATAGGAATATTTGCATTTTCACATTTACCCTGGCTAAAAAGGCAGTGACAATTGTCTCTTCGGATTACCTTTTGTCACTCAAGTAATGGGGTCACAGAAACAGCAGCACATGACACAAAGAGCTGCATCTACCCTCTGTCCAAAGACTAAACGGGTGTGCTTCCTCTCACATCTGACAAAATCTATACAGGCATCAGCTAGAGAGCCCAGGCAAACCTACTGGGCAAGGACAGAGAGCTCCTCCCTCTCACTCCCAATGAAATTCTAACTAAGGTAGCATCTCCTGTGCAGTTTGCCCCTCCACTGGGCCCAGAAACTTCTGCAGCTATTCCTGCTGGGTGATTCACCTGATTCACAGCATCCCTGATTCACCCTCTCACAGCATCCCTTTGCCTGGCTACGCTGCACACATGCTATACAGTGCTGCCACATGATGCTCACAAGCACAGAAAACATAACGAGAAACACAGTGCAGCTCAGCCCATCAGCAGGACTGATCTGGTTCCAACACAGCAATGCAAGCAAGAGCAGTGGCAGCCCCAAATCCAGGCAATTTTTTTCCCACTCTAGGTGTACGGGTGTACACACAGCCTTTGCTCCCCTGGGTACACATCTGTTTGCTGCTACATTAACAGCATCTGTAGCCCAGGGAACTCCACCCAAGCTTTAGGCACCAGCACATATTCTTACAGCTGCTGCTCAAAAGGACTCAAGAGTTGAAACACAAAAACCAAAGACTAAGCCAAGCTCTACCATCAGTGTTTACTTTTGCAAAGCAAACTCAAGACCAGAACCCGGGTTTTCAGGGATGAGACTTGCCAAGTCCACTTGCTTGTTTAAAGAAATCCGAAACGAAGCCAAGGAGCAGTGAACATGGTAGAGAGAACATGTAGCAACAGCTGATGCTTACACATGTTGAGCTGCCGTATGAAGCTGGAAATATTGTTGTGTTTGAAGTACTTGGGGAGCAGTTCCTTGGCAAACCTCTGCTCATCCAGAATGCAGAAATTCTCACCATTCTAGGAAATAAACAGGAGTAACAGTTAATGAACAAGCACATCTTTCCTAAGGTGTTACTTTTAAGGGAAGACCATAAACCAGCAGAGACAGTTCTGACAGCAGAGAAGAGCAAAACACTTTGCCAAGGGAACTGCCTGTGGGGATACTTCCGAGTACTTGGAATGGGACTAACAAGTTTTAAAACAAAGACACAGTTACATGGAACACTTCTATTGAATAGGGGATTTTCTTAAAGCCCTGATGCTCTGATCTTAATCCAAAGCAAAATTGTTCTAAAAACCTGCTCTCCTTGTCTACAGGAAACATAAGCTCAAACACAATGGAATCCACACCACTAGAGAGATTCCATCTCCCTTCATCAGTCTGACCAGCTCCTGACAAGATTCTTCCATTGTACGTGCTACGTCATCACTAAAAATAACGAAGTAACGTTGCCGAGTTACCGAAGTTCAGACAACACAACCCAGCGGTGACCAGGGGTAAGTGTGACACCAGCAGTTCCAGATTTATCATATGCTCAAGATAAAACTTCCTGGAAGCGGCCAGAGTTTTTTTGCATCACTTTTTATGCTATTCACAAAGAGAACAAAAACACTGTGTTTCTTTTTATCTTTTCCTTTGTAGAGGACAAGTGGCTAAAAACAATGGAGAAAATCCCTCAGACTTAAAAATTACAGGGGACAAAACCAAACACGGTGCTTGTCTGGGGTGTGTGCTCTATGTGTCCGTGCCCTGTGCCCGCGAGGCGCACGTGCCTCCGCTCCGCAAGGAAAACGAACAGTTAATGTCTCCTTTCCCCACCCGATGCTGGTGACCTGGAATTCGGGACCGGGGTGCGCGGGCAGCGCGGCGTCCCAGGCACAGCCCCGGGGCTGATCCACCGGGCTCGGGGCGCTCCGGGCAGCCCGGGACCCTCCTCCTCCCCCGCCACCCGGCCCGCAGGGCCCCGCAGCCCCACCACCCCGAGCCCTCCGCGCGGGCCTCCTCGGGCCGGGCCCGCGCGGCCGCCTCACCCTGCTCCAGCAGATGACGTCGTCGCTGTCCGCGTCCTCCAGCAGCGCCCAGAGCTTGGCGAGGAAGCCGGGGACGGGCGCGGGGCCGGGGCCGGGCGCGGCGGGGCCGCGGGGCAGCGCGGGCGCCTCCCGCATCCTGGGGCCGGGCCGGGCCGGGCCGGGTCGGGTCGGGTCGGACCGGGCCGCGCGGGGCCGCCGCGCGCACCGCGGGGCGGGGCCAGCGAGCGAGACGGCCGCTCATTGGCAGGAACCACCCGGCCCCGCCCCGCGGCCGCGAGCGTGTCTCTTGTTGTGCTCTCGGGGGAGCGCGCGGCCGCGTGACGTCACCGCGCGCCTTTAAAGGGGCCCCTCAGCCCACCCACACCCCTCCGTTCCCCCGGCCCGGCACCGCCCGCCGCCCACCGGGGCTCTCCAGGGTCCCTCGGGGCTCCCGGGCCCGGCGCCGCCCACCGGGGCTCTCCGGGGTCCCTCGGGGCTCCCGGGCCCGGCACCGCCCGCCGCCCACCGGGGCTCTCCAGGGTCCCTCAGGGCTCCGGGCCCGGCACCGCCCGCCGGGGCTCTCCGGGGTCCCTCGGGGCTCCCGGGCCCGGCACCGCCCGCCGCCCACCGGGGCTCTCCGGGGTCCCTCGGGGCTCCCGGGCCCGGCACCGCCCGCCGCCCGGCCGGGGCTCTCGGGGTCCTCAGGGCTCCGGCCCGGCGCCGCCCACCGGGGCTCTCCGGGGTCCCTCGGGGCTCCCGGGCCCGGCGCCGCCCGCCGCCCGGCCGGGGCTCTCCGGGGTCCCTCGGGGCTCCCCGCACCGGTGGGCGAGCCAGCCCTGGGCGGGGCGGGCAGGTGCGCGCGCGGCGGGGCGGAGCAGCCGGGCCTTCCCGGCGGGCGGTGCTGCGGGGCGGGGGCGGACCGGGGCGGGGCGGGCTCTGTCGGTCCGCAGAAGCGGTGCGCCTTTGTCCCGCCCGGGTTCGTCCTCGCCGGAGCTCCCGCGTCCCGCTCTGCAGCCCCGCCGAGCCGCGTCCCGCTCGCACGTAAGGGATGAGCCGCCCCGCACCTTCCTTCAGTGCTTTCCCCTCGCTCTCGGACTGGGGTTTCTCTGCAGTCAGGTGTTGGGGAACGGCCCCACAGCGCCCGCGCGGATCAGATGGGAGCTGCGTCCCACCAGCCCCACTGGAGTCTCATTTCCGTTCGTTCGCGATCCCTGTGCTGTTGGGGACCCGGCAAAGGGCACTCCTGGGGGAGTGGGGTGGGGGTGTTCTGCTGTGAAATGCAAAGTTTAGGGATGAATGGAATACAAAGTTTGGATTGGTTTTGGTTTTGTTTCTTTTTTTTCTTAAGACATATGTTATTATCAAACAAAACTTAAATATTTTTAAAAGAATCTAAGGTTTTGGACCACCTTCACCTTGCACTAGTCGAGCAAATGGTGATTAGTCACTGGGAGGGGAATGTGAGCACAGATTCGGTCTCACTTGTTGCATCTGCATTCAGGGATGTATTTTGTTGTACCCTGGAATTGCCTCAGAGGTGAGTGCAGTCTCATGGTTAAGCTCTAGCCAGAGCCCAGGTGCAATTCTTAAAGATTCAGTAGGGCTGTCTCAAAGACTTGCCCTTGACTATTTTCAGTGCCAGAGAACACCACAGAGCATTTAGAATGCCAGGACTTCTGGCTGTTTGATGGGTGCTGCGGTGCTACTGAGCGGAGCAGGGCCTCTGCCACACAGGAAGACTGGGCTGGTGCAGGGAGTTTGTCTCCACTGCCAGTTTTCACAACCAGCTTCGAGAGCTGCTGTTCACCCTTGTAAAGTCTGAGCTCTGCCCTTTCCTGGGATGTGGTACTGCCTGCATTGAGGTGGGAGGACTCGAAGACCAGCCTGCACTGGCTCCCTGGACTTGGTGGCTCCAAGGCCTTGAGGAGGCCACCCTGTGTACTTTGCCCTGCATTGACACGGAGGCCACATCTTGGGCTGAGTCAGGAGCATCCCGTGCCCTTCCCTCGGGTGTGTGCCGGCAGGGTGTCAGGTTCTGGGCTGAGGGCTGGCAACGCTTCCTGTTTCTTTCTGTGCTGCCTTTTGCTCGTCTGCCGTGTGAAACAGCACAGGTACAGCTTTCTGAAGCCCTTCCTTTGAATCCTCCTTACTAGCATAGAGTGGTTCAGAGCAAGTATTTCACCTCCCCATGATCAGTGATGGGTTCTGGGGCAGCAGTAGCAGGCAATAAGGATGGTGTGTGGCAGTGGGGCTGAGCCAGTGCTGCTCTAGTCTCCACACTGCCAGGGCCACGGGGAAAGGGCTGCTCTGTATCTGAGTTTCACAGGTGTGTGACCAGGAGTTTCTGAAAGGGAGTGGCTGGTGGAGCCCCTGGAGCAGAGCTATACTGTGTCAATGGATCAAAACCATCTCTGATTTAGAGATCCCTACAACCCCCTTCCAGGAAAGGTAGGAAAGAAGGTGTTTCCAAGTTGAGAGTTACTTTGTCTCAACTTCTCAATTTAACGACTATTTGGAATCAGCAATACTTGATCATCATTAGCTTCTGAGAACAGCACAGTATGTTTGGAAATCAGAAATGAAGCTTTGAAAGCTGTCTAGTCCATTGCCATGTGCTGTGGCTGAATACTGTCTGTTGGGTATCAGATGTGGTAAGAGGTTTCAAAGCTGCTATGTGCCATACTGGCTGAAAGCTTGCAGAATACCCAGCTTCCCTACAGATAAACCTGATACATTCATGTTGCTGTTACAAAGATGGGGAGAATAAGTAATGACAGTCTTTTTACGAAAAAGCCTTTGTTTGCTACGGTGTTACATCACCATTCCCTTCTGTATGAGATTAAGGAAAACTGAGTGCCTTGAGCTTTGTTGTTAGGTCATGTTTCTCATTCTCTTGCTTTCTGTTTCTCTCTGCTGAACATGCTCTGAGTTGCTGTTATGTGTCTGAAGAGCTGGACATCTGGTTTAGGTACAGTTTGTTTGCTTGTTACATCCAGCTTTGTTTACGGTATCACTGGATAACACCTTTCTTAAACATTTCATCTGTTCTAACCCTTTCTTATCCTTTGGTGTAATTCTACTGTCCCATATTGCATCAGCTTCTCCTTCATACAGGTGGCTTTTTGAACCTGTATTGACAGAACTGTATTTTGATGATTTCAGACAGTTCCCCCAACTTTTCCCCAACTCTCTTCAGAGTATTTCTGGTGCTTGATCACACCAAGTTTGATGTCAATTGGAAGTTTTATGAGTAAGCTACTTTGTGGTCATAATCATGGAGAAAATATTTAATGGAACAAAAAGCAAAAAGCCTTGTGCAGCCTGTTTGAGATATACTCCTGGGTTACAGAGAACTGCTCTGTAAGAGCTATCTTTAATGAAGTTAAAATTTAAAATTACTTCATAGTGACTAAACTGTACTTCCTCAGGTGACTTAGAATATAGAGATCTTGGTGAGAGCTTAAAATATACAGATATATACTCAGGACTGTTTCCCTGAGCTCTGTATGTGGACCTGTAAGATAATTTGGAACATCAGCAACGGTGAAAAGAGGGTTAATCAAACTATTATGAGAGCAGCACATTTGGTATTGGGGGCTCATTAGCAAGGCACGATCTCTATCCACCTTGTGCATTAATTCTGTTATGGAGTGATTTCCTTCTTGGATATTTGAAAAACAATCCCAATAGGACTTCTTCATACCCTCTCAAAATGTCCAGTACCTTCAACCTAGGTGATCATATTCTGTTTCATTGTCTTTATTTTTCCGAAACAGGTGAAACCTCCAAAAGCACTTTCCCTTCAGGCTGTGATGGGATTGGTCTGGTGGTTGCTGCTCTGTGTCCCCACGCTGTCACCCATATTTGCTGGGGGTGTCACGCGAGTCTATTACCTGGGAATCCATGAAGTGGACTGGAACTATGCTCCAACAGGGAGGAATGTGCTTGCTAACCAGAGCGTTGCTCATAACCGGTATGTCTGGCTCCAAGAGAATTTAATCTGGGACTGGCTTCAGATTGTCATTTGATGTGTAATTTTTGCAAGTATTTTGGAGCATCTGAGCAAGCAAGAGATGCACTGATAGATTCTGATCTTTATGAGCTTAATGTTTAACTAGTTTTATCACAGGAGCATAGAACCTGTGTCAGTGGGAAAAGGAATGGTCAGTTTGAAGCATCCAGAGCCCATACACTGGAGAGAAGTGCACGGAAAAAAACCAAAACCCAACAAAACAGAATACAGAACAGTTTCTTCTAAAATAACCCAGATTGTGCAATGCTCTGCCCTGAGGTTTCGTTTTGCTTAGTTCCAACTGGCGATCAGCTTGTGTATCCTGAGGCAGGAGGACTTTTTATCTTGAGGTAAATGACTTCAGAGTCAGCTTTTTGTTTCAATGGAATTTTGAGCCTTAGACTTAATGGAACTTCCTACATGAGATTTTAGGGACTGTTTGAAAAATATTTTTGTTTTTCTTGTAAAAGTAAATCTGGAAACTGCTATAATTACTTTGAGTCATTACAAAAACAGGTTTTGGTTTTTTCTTTGGCGGGTGTTTGGTTTTTTTCTTTAGTGGGTGTTTTTTGTGTATGTGGTTTGTTTTGTTGTTTAATAGCTTTCCAAAGAATTTTGAAGGCATTTGTGCTTTTTCCCCTGCCCTCATTTTCTGTGGCGAATAGCTGGTATTTCTTGACCTGCTCTCAGTCCTTTACCCCTCCATAATAACTAACACTTGGGTTTATCCTTCAGAGCCAGCACAGCAGGAAGAGGAGGGTTCACAGAAACATCAGAGTCTGTTAGTTTAGCTTGGAAAAGTCTCTGTTCTCTGGAGATGCTGTATAGATGTAAATTAGTTCACAGGAAACCCCCCAAAATTCAGGGTTAATAAAGATGTTATCACTTATTCCTGAAGTGATAGTGATTACAGTGGTTTTTGTTTGCTTTCTCTCATAACACATGAAGAGAAGGAAATGAAATTCAAGGCCACTGAACTTAAAAGGAATTTAAAAACTGTTCTGTCACTGCAAACAATTAGCTAATGGGACTTCTTTGTACAATGATTGCAGAAATGAAATTACTGGCAATTAGAAAAGGATGTGATGTCAATATGAACAACAGAGGTAGTAAAATCTTTGAAAAATTTTTTTGTTGGGAAGAAATGGACTGTGGGGAAAGATCAGATCTATAAAATGAATTGTGAATTAACTTAAACTCTTTGCAGATGATGGCTGCAGGGCTGACTTGGCAAAAGGCTGAGCTCTGGATTGCATAGCTACAGCCCTGCCCTGTACCTTTTTGAATGAAAAGTGCAGTGCTTAATATCTCAGTCTCAGCTGTTCATGCTTTGACTTGGGTGTTAGAGTTTGCCTCCCTTCCAGGGCTGTTCTACTGCTGTGGTGATTGATCCAAAGGGGGAAGTTGGGGGAGTGACCTCATCTCTCATTTAGGCTGGTTCCACTAATACTTGGACCATGATTCATCTCTTATCTATTAAGAATTAGCCATAAAGAGCAAATATGCTCATGAGTTGAACTTTAGTACCTGTATGAGGTTTTAACTCTGGAAGCTGGTTACATGCTGGGTACGTACCTGCCTGACTCATCTGTCATTCTGCAAGAAATTCAGAATCTGTTAAGTATAAAATAATGTTTCAGACTATCAATTTTAGCCAGAGAGCTCAGGAAACTTCTCCCCCTGCCTTGGGATTTAGCTGCAAATGCCCCAAAGGAATTGAAGTGCGTTTCTCAGAGCCCAGTGAAGGCTGAAGCAGGAATGAGAAAGGTCTTCCCTGCAACACCCACATGGGATTGTCGGGGAACCACTATCCTTCCCATTCCTTGTTCATAGGGCACAGTTCAGGGGTGCACTTCATGTCCATTGATGAAGAGGTGAGGTTGAAGTTGTGGCCTTGCAGGGGTGGCTTAGAGCATCTCAGGGTCCTCTAATGCCCGAGGTTTCAGCTGTACCTGGGAAAGTGGAGTGTCAACGTCACTGTACTGCGCTATCAACCAGCTGTTGGATATAACGATGCCTTTCCCTTTGAATTTAACAGCCAGGCCGCAGCATTCCTCCAGCCTGGAAAAGACAGGGTGGGAAGCACGTACAAGAAATCTGTCTATAAGCAATACATGGACTCCACGTACACCACTGAGATCCCCAAACCTGGCTGGCTGGGATTTCTTGGACCTGTCATCCGAGCAGAAGTGGGAGATACCATTAAAGTACACCTAAAAAATTTTGCTACTCGACCGTATACAATCCATCCTCATGGTGTTTTCTACGAAAAGGACTCTGAAGGTAAATGAGCCACAGCCATCACAGAGACAGATTTTACTCACTGGGAACTTAGGAGTATGTGTGAAGGAGAGCTGTCTGTAAAACCTCAGCTGGAAAGCAACTGCACTTGGTTGGTGTTGGGTTAGCAGGGTCAGAGGACTGGAAGTAGTTTCCTGACTTGTGCATTACAGTACATGGCCCAGGTTTCTTGGTTTTGGAAGAACCTCCAAAACACTGATTAACCCTAGAAATTGTAAAGAGGCTGACTGTGGGGGCACAGTGCAGAATTGAAGGCAAAGTAACGCTAGGTAGAATGGAAATAATCTTGCTGATTTTGTGTGACCCATTTACGGGGCAAATCGCCTTACAGTGGTCTGTGCCTCAGTGTCTCTTTGAGGGGGTAATGATTAAACACTATTTCAGCCTTGGGATGGTGAATCTCACTTTGAAATCTGCTACCCAAGTACATGCATACAGGTCTGTTGAGTGAGAGTGGCTCAGTAGAAGGTTACACGTGTGGGCATCTCGGCTCTTCTTGAATGGATGTTGTGATTGCTCAATTGTTCTAGGATCCCTGTATCCCGATATGTCCCCCCAGGATCAGAAGAAGGATGATGCTGTTTTCCCAGGAGGGAATTACACCTATACTTGGACTGTCCCTGAAGATCACAGCCCAACTGCTGATGACCCAAACTGCTTGACCTGGATCTACCACTCTCATATTGATGCACCAAGGGACATTGCGTCTGGATTGATTGGACCATTGCTTACATGTAAAAAAGGTAAAAAAACCATGAAAAAGCAGCTGAGGACTGCAGTTTCATAGTGTAAAGGTTTTGTGGTGACATGAATAAGGATAGGCTGTGAAAATACTCTGATGGGTGTCTCCTAGCTTCAGGGGAAAATCAGCTTTGTTAGAGAAGACAGTACTTGTGTTCTAGCAGCGTTCTGGTCACTGTGTTGTCTTTATCTATTACTGACAGGGCAGGTGAGCTTGATCCAAGAATGCTGCTTGAATCCATGTTAAATGCAGGACTCTTGTCCAAGATGTAGTTTGTGTCTTAAAAACATGGTGGCTGATTTCAGCAGGACTGAGAAGACTGAAGGTGTTGCAGCGGAGCCATGCGGTGGCAGAGCCGCTTGGAAGAGAGAACCGTATTGGCAGGAATATATTGGAAAAGGGTGAGCTCACTGCTCTGCGGTGAGCTGGGAGGATGGTGGGAAAGCATCTTTCTCCAGTTCATGTGACAAATGTGTCTCTGCTATTGCTATTTTAATCTCTTGCTTGATGTATGATTTTTCTGCATTCATTCCTCTCTCCTTTTCCCTCAGGAATACTGACAGGCAGCTCTCAAAGACGCCAGGATGTGGATGTTGATTTCTTTCTGATGTTCAGTGTGGTGGATGAGAACCTAAGCTGGTACCTGGATGAGAACATAGCATCATTTTGCAGAAATCCTGGCTCTGTAGACAAGGAAGATGAGGAATTCAAGGAGAGCAACAAAATGCATGGTCAGTGTCAGCTTTGTGAGGCCACTGACTCTGCCAAGACACTCAAGGGTGTCAGTGCTCTGGGATCACATGCTGAGCAAATAATGTCACAGGGTGGGGCAACAACTCCAGAAAAAGGAAGTGTTGTTTTGCTTTAATCTTTGACGAGTGAGCTTTTATACCCTTTGTTTTAGGAATGAGCTGGGGAGCTAGGCTCTCCAAAACAGAAGAGGAGGATGAGTTCTGGTTAGGTGCATCCTCCCATCATGTCTGTGCTGTAACCTGCTAGTAGGAGCTTTGAAGGCCCCTTTTCTGCTCTCTGATTCTGGCTTGCTTGGTTTTCCAGCTATTAATGGTTATGTGTTTGGCAACCTCCCTGAGCTGACGATGTGTGCTGGGGATGATGTTTCATGGCACCTCTTTGGGATGGGAAATGAAATTGATGTTCATACAGCCTACTTCCATGGAGCAACACTCAATATCCGAGGCCATAGGACAGATGTGGCCAGCCTCTTCCCAGCCACTTTTGTTACAGCAGATATGATCCCCAGTGACCCTGGGAGATGGCTGCTGAGCTGCCAGGTCAATGATCACGTACAAGGTAAGGCAGAAGGTAGAATATGACCTGGACTCTGCGTCTTCCATTTTTTCTGTCAGTGTGGTCGTGTGATATACAGTGTAGTCGGAAACAGTGCCTTGGGTATGAAAAACAACTCCAGATGAATGGGTGATTCCTTGTCTTGGATAAATTGGAGTGGGTTGATTATTAATGTGCAGGGCAGCCTTGGTGAGGGTGATTTGTACCAGAGTATGATGTTCCACTTTAGGTACAGCTGAAGCTGAGATGAGGCAGACAGTGTTTTGAGAGCTCTGCTCCCTATAAGGGGTGCTTGCATGGTAGAGCTGAGGACAGCAGAAGGCTCCAGTCACTCTCTATCTATACTTCATAGCATCCAATACCTAAGGTTGGAAGCTCTGCTCACTGACAAACTCCTTGCTGTGGGAACTACCTACTTGCCTTCTCCCATCCACGTGCCTTTTGGAACAGCAGAGGGAAGGTGTCCAGTTGGTGGTGGGAAGGTGAGACTGTGTCCATTGCCCACTGGACTGGCCGAGGGGGCTAAGTGTGCATGTCCTCCATGTCTTGGACAGCTGGAATGGCAGCACTGTATGAAGTCCGGCCCTGTTCTCGGCAAGCTCTGGCATCCACCCTGGAAGGGAGAGTTCGGAAGTACTACATAGCTGCCAAGGAAGTGCAGTGGGACTACGGACCCTCAGGGCGTGATCAGAGCAGTGGGAAGCAGCTGACTGAGGCAGGCAGGTAAGTGAGATGCTGGTGGGCTTGGGCAGTGTCTGGGGGCTCTGGCCTGTGTCAGGAAGGCTGTTCAGGAAAATGTGGAATTTTTTTCTTTTCATGCCTGCTATTCACATGAAGTACATTTCCTGAAGGCAGATCACTGTCTGGAAAGGAAGGCTGCTGTAGGCAGACGGCACTGAGCAGTACAGGTACCTCAGGCCTTCCCGTGGGAGTGCTGTGTGGCACAGCTGTACCCACAGGCAGCAGGAGTCCTAGCAGATGTGCAACATGAGCTGTCATGTTTGTCTCTGGGCTTCATTTTTGCTTACTGTGCCTGACCTAGGAACAGATCTTTGTATTTAAGGAATGGTTTAAAAAGCCCCTGATGGCATCTGACACAGGTGGCAGAGCTGGCCTGTGGATGGGCCTTAGGGTGGCCTTGTTGCAGGAAGCAATTTCTAGAAAATCAAATGCAGGGACCTGGGTGGCAGCCCTCTATTCTGTGACCAAGTGGCTGTGATAGCAGTTGGTGAGAGGTTTCCCCTTCGGGCTTTGGCTAATTGAAACAGAAATGCCTCTGCCTCCCCTCCCTTCCCTGGGAAGCTGCTGGAGAGGATATACCTCATTCAGACGGAGAAGGAGAAATGCAGAGCAGTTAATTATTTACCCGGTGCCATGCAGCAACTTTGCAGACCTTAGAACTGAAAGCTCTTTAGACCTGTGAACTGACATTGTAACTGTGCTGCCTCTCCTGCAAGGCTACGTCTGTGTTTGGCGAGGGTGGTGGCAGAGGAAATAAATCTTTTTACAGCTGTTTATTTTAGCTATGATTGTGACTGTCCCCTGGGCTGTCCATGACCTCTGAAGAGCTTGGTGTTCTTGCACTGCCTTCCCACTGAGTCCTTTACGCATCTTGTGTAGAGGTGCTGATTACACCTGTGCTACCGAACCTGGCAGGTTCAGCTGGGAGAGGGCTGTCTGCCACAGGTGCTCTCTGAACATGCAAGTGGACAGGTCTGTAGGGGCAAAAAAGCTTTGAAGAGTCGAAGCTGTGCTGGTTCCAAACTAAAGGTGCTGTCCTTTTCTGAAATGCTGCTTGATTTGGAGATGCTGCTGGCCTTGCCAGAGGGAGGTGGAGGGGGAGCAGAGGAACATGACTGATTTTTTTTTTTTCTTTTTGCTATGAGATAACCTGACATTTGCTTTTTGCATTTAGCCCTGCTGAGCAGTATTTCAAGCGTAACCTCTACCGTATTGGGGGTGTCTACTGGAAGGCAAAGTATGTAGAGTACACTGATGAGAGCTTCCGTGAGGAAAAGCAGCAATCAGAAGAAGAGAAACACCTTGGAATACTCGGTGAGAATCATCCAGGAACACAAATCCTCTGTCAGTATTGGTGAGAAGGATGCTGATGCTGGGATTGCCAGTTAGCTGTACCTGCCCTCTTATTTTGAGGGGCACAGAGGTGCTTCACAACAGTCACATCAGAGCGAGTTGGACAGGCACAAGTGGGAGGTGATACTTCAGAGCTGATTCTTAAGGTATCTGAGGGACACAATGTAGTATTTGTGACTAAAGCTAAACAGATCACAGCAGTAATTCCTGGTTAACATGTTTTTGACTGAGTCCCTTCAAGGCCTGCTGCAAACCCCATGTTCTCACAGAGACCTCTCCTGAATGGTGCTCTCTGTCATAGCTAAGTGTGCACACAGAGGCAGCCTGGCTCCTCAGCCCCTTCTGTGGCCTTGGGATGCTCTGTGGACCCAGGCAGGTCAGGGGCTGTTGGGGACAGGCATGGTAAAGATTTGGTGTTCCTGGCTGGCTGGCTGGGGCAGGGGCTCACAGACTGTGGTCACCTTGGAGCATCCCACATCTCTGAGGCACGTGTGTTGGGAGGCTGAGGGAGCCTTGTGTAGTGGGAGAGAGACATGGACCTTTCCCGAAGGCATTCCCACACATCTGGCTGTTCTGTTACTCCCCGTGTGAAGGCCTGACACCTCTGAGTTCTCTCACAGACCCAGAGTGCTTTCAGATGATCCTTACCAGTCCCTGCTCCCTCTGAGCTCCCTTCAGCAGCCAGGGCACCCGCCACCTTTCCTTGTTAACCCCTGCAGCCTGGGGGAAGGTGCCCTGGCTGCTTTGTTTTGCCTGGTGGCCTGGGGAGGTGCTCTGTTGATGATCTGTTCTCTCTGCTATTCTCTAGGTCCAGTGATCAAAGCTGAAGTTGGAGACACCATCCTGGTGACGTTTTTTAACAAAGCTTCCTGGCCTTTCAGCATCCAGCCACACGGAGTGTCCTATGGAAAGGCGTGGGAAGGGATGTGGTACCATGACGGTTGGTGGATCCCTTTTCTTGAGTACACCCACTTCACCCTTAAGAGGTGCTGGGTGTTTTGGTGACGTGAACAAAGTAAAGCCTGCTATGAATGTATCTGGTGAGAAGGTGTAACTGAGGTTTTGCAGGGACCTCAGGAATAATCCTGTAATCCCTGTTTTAAAGGCCTGTCTCAGAATGGGATGTCTGTGCCTCCACTGCACAACTTCACATACCGCTGGACTGTGCCGAGGCACGTGGGGCCCACGTCCAGTGACCCTCCCTGCCTCACCTGGATGTACAGCTCAGCTGTGAACCCTATCAAAGACCCCAGCTCGGGCTTAGTGGGGCCTCTGCTCATCTGCCAGCCAGGCACTTTGGATAACAACAACAAACAGGTAAAGAGGTTTACCTGCCCTGCTCTTACCAGATTCTTTGCCTTCATGTAGAGAAAGAAAGTGTCAGCAAAACACTACAGAGCATAATGAAAACAAATATGCAGTAGTGTGAGTCCAGGAGAGTCAAATCAAAGCCATGAGTCAGGTTAACACTGGGACAGCTGGTGCCCAGGTCTAGCCTGGGAAAGGCCAGTAGTGTTATGGGCTTCCAAGGGATGTTTGTTTTCAAGCAGAGCTGACCCCAAAAATCATATGAAAATCCATGTCAGTCTTTATGCTTTTGATGAAGGAGAGGTGATATCTGAAGGGCAAACAGAGCTTCCTCTTGGAATTTCACTCAGGGATAATCTATTACTGGAAATCATTCTGGGGAAGACAGTAAATTGATATCTGGGGGAGGTGCCAGACAGATGGCAAGAGATAGCCTTGTTGTGAAAGAAGCAGGTGGTAGATAAACCAGCACTGCTGTCCTGTGGCACTGGGGAGTGGGGAGGGGTCTGAGGACAGCTGCCCCCAGGGCCTCCCTGGGGAAGTTCACATTCAGTGGTGGCACCATGTGACTAAATTAGGAGTGCAGAAGAGGTCAGCACACTACCCAGGGTGGAATGTGGATCTGCTGGGCAGGGAGATTGGGAATATGCACAGCCCATGTGGGCAGGTATTGGAAGGGTGTAAGCAAAACAGGGATGGACCCGTTTGTAAAGGTAGGACAGAGAAAAATCACCTGGCATGGCATTTCTGGCTCCACAATCTTAGGCAACTCTTTAATGAATGCTTAATTGTGGAAGGTGCATGGCCACTCCCCTGCACCTGTGTGCTGCAGTCTGGGAATTGCTCACCTTCTTGGCAGGCCAGCTGCCTTGGTACTGCTGGGAACAGTGACAATAGAGGAAGAGTCTGGACATCACCAGGATGTTCTTTTAGTGAGGAAACACCATATTTTGCAGTGCATTTTGTAGGAGAATTAACACTTGCAAGGATTTAGGGTAATTAAAAAAAGCCCTAATTCCAGCCTGTGGTAGGAGGCAGGAGGGGTGGGGTGTGTTCATCGGCCGGCCTTGTGTCTGGGCTCTGGTCTCAGGCCTGGTTTGCACTGACACCTAAATATATGGGTGAGGGGGGAAGCGGGCAATGACTTCATGCCCTTGGCTGAGTTTTGATCAGTTTATTCATATGAGGTATCATGGAAAATGCAAAAGTGGTGCTTTTTGTGAAATAAAAGAGGAACGTTCAACATGAATAAAGGGACAGAGTCCTGGCCCTCAGTGAGCCAGGTTTAAAGGTAAAGGGGAACACAAGAGCCTGGCAAAACAGATTTAACTCTAAGGGTAGTTAATTTGTGTGTTTTAAAAATTAACAGCCATCATTGTAATTATAGAAAGGGATCGACAGAGAATTTTACCTTCTCTTCAGTGTGTTTGATGAGAACCTCAGCTGGTATTTAAATGCCAACATAAAGTACTACTTGAGAATGGAAGAGACATCTGTAAAGAAGGATGATGGCTTCAAGGAATCCAACAGGATGCATGGTATGGTTGGATGCTGCTCTGTGGCATTGCAAGGAATGAACTTGCAAAGCATGGCGTGGTGCTCACCTAAAGGCTGAACTGGGGGCTGGAGGGGCTGTGTGGTGTTGGCCTGGAATGAAACCAGCCTGGAGGCAGCAGGTGGGATGTGGACAAGCAGCACAGCTGCTTGGGGAAGCATGTTTTGAGTGTATTCAGGGGTGAATTGCAAATAAACTACCCTTTCTTCCCGTGCCAGACCTGTTCCGTGTATGCACAAAATTAATCTCCTGGCTGATGCCTGCCTTCAGAGAGTTAATTGCTTTCTCCTTTGCAGCCATCAATGGACTTATGTTTGGTAACTTGCCTGGGCTGGATGTGTGTGATGGAGACAAAGTGTCCTGGCACCTCCTGGGCTTGGGCAGCGAAGCAGATGTACATGGAGCTGTGTTTGAGGGAAACACCCTGCAGATGAACGGCATGCGGAGAGATTCAGCCAATCTGTTCCCCCACACATTTGCTACTGCCTTCATGCAACCAGATAACAGTGGTGAGTGCCCACACAGCTGCCTGGGCAGATGGAAGAGTCTCCCATTATGGTATTTGCTCCTGTGGCAGATTCTCTAGCAGAGTGTGAACTCTTATAGGGTGAGCTGTGCTTCATGTGATTATTGTGTAACAAAGCTTCCTGAGACAATTTTTGTGTAGAACTTTGTTGTGCCGTTTCTTCAATGACTCCTTTTAACCTTGGCCTGTGGCAACCAAGCTGCCCAAACACCACACAGATATACTCAGCGCATACTGACACTGGCTGGCAAAGCAGCTGTTTCCTGGAGTCTTTAAAATCAACTGATTTCTTTGCTCGTCCTGCCTCCCTCAGGGACTTTTGAGATCTACTGCCAGACGAGCAATCACTACCAGTCTGGGATGAGGGAACAGTATGTTGTTTCCAAGTGTGGAAAGAGGGACCCTGCTCCTTCCCATCGGTACACGGGAGTGCGGACGTATTACATCGCGGCCGAGGAGGTGGTGTGGGACTACGTGCCTGACCGGAGCTGGGAGAGGGAACGGCACAACCACTCTGCAGAGAGGTAGAGCCCACCTTCTGGGGAAACCTGTGGCAGTATCCCAGTAGACCCTGATGGAGCCTGTTGGGTGTCTTGGCCAACTTGTGACCTGTGCTGGTGGTGCTGCTGATGTAGCGCAGCCCTCCAAGTCATTGCGCTTTCCATTGCAGCCAAAGCTGGCTCTGGGAAATCCCTTCAGCTTGTGGACCCCCTGCCACAGCTTAGTTGCTTACTCCCTGTGAGGTTTTTTGTATTCAGCACTTGTTCTGCATTTCTCAGCTATGCCGACGTGTTTCTGAGCAACGAGAACGGACTGCTCGGCTCCAGGTACAAGAAAGCAGTTTACAGGGAGTACACGGATGGCACTTTCCAGACCCCCAAAGCCAGGATAAATGGTGACGAACACCTAGGGATTCTGGGTAAGGATGTGTGTAGAGGGTACACCTTCTGCTCACACAGCAATGGTACTGGGGCTCTAGGGCCGCAGTGGCTTAGGGCAGTAACGTGAGGGCCCACTGAGTATCTAGGCATCTGCTGTGTATGCAAGTGAGGAGAAATTGGGACTGTTTCCTACCCATGTCTGACAGCTTTGCAGACAAAAGTTAGAAGAGTCCTAAGCACAGCTTGTAGGAAAGCCTGGGCTCTTCTGCCTACCTTTGCACCAGCATTCTGTCATGGCTCAGGCAAAGCTGCATTTCTCTGACTGGGGAACAGAGTGGAGGAGCAGTGACTAACTGAAGTCTGTGTAGACCCAGTTCTGTTTTTTCTGTGTTACAAACCTGTGCAAGGCTGTAAGTGGTGGCAGGGCAGCCAGGCTGAGGCAGCAGTTGCCACTGAAAATAGGCTGCAAATCAAGCAGTGTCTGACTTGTGACATTGTCAGGCCAAGTTGAATATTACCACATTTTTTGAAATAGACAGCAAGGGATGATCAACATTTTGTGACATTTAGCACAACAGTATTCAGAAATCAAGCCTTAGTTGTGCTGGGCCCAGTTAAGATGTGTAACCACCTTCATTGCCCTCACTGTGAAAGTCAGTCCAGTTTCCTAAGACTTGGCTTGGGACTGACATCCAATTCTCTTTTTGGGAGGTAGGGAAACATCATAAATATTATAAGGGTATATCTCCAGGGAGATGTTGAGAGAGAGGTGGGAGTATCCCAGGAGATGTGCTGGTGGATTTTGCTGGTCTCAGCGTACATTCTTCCTGTCTCAAGGTCCTTTTCTGTGGGCGGAAGTGGGCGAGATTCTCAACGTGGTGTTCAAGAACAACGCCTCGCGGCCCTACTCTGTGCACGCACACGGGGTGCTGGAGCGGCACACAGGGCAGCCGCAAGTGGCAAACCCCGGTAGGTCCCTGTCTCCAGTTTTTCTCTGTGGGCTGGCACTGCTGATTTTAGCCCAGAGCCTGACTGGCTTCCTTAAGCAGCCTCAGATGTCCTGATTTTCTTATGATAGAGAATTGGAACTGAACAGTAACTGGTCTTTCAGGTCCAGCATGGTTTTGGTGATACCATTTGTGTGGGAATGACAGCCTTGGGAGTTCACATTTTGCTCAGACTTCTAGGACAGGTGTATGACAGAGTTCTATGTGCAGTTTTATTCCCCCACACTGAGTGTGGTCTGTCTGGGGGAAGGGGAGGGTGATGGCAGGTAACAACTTAGCCAGTCCTTAGTAGCCATGGCATGGTGGAAGCCTGCTCTTCTTTGGCAGATGTATGAGCACAATAGTATGAAATAGGAGAAATGCACAATTGCTTACCAGGATCAGACTGAAATTGCCACTTTGTTTCGTGATACAGATGCCAGTGGGTGTAATTTTTGATCCCCTCCAACTTGCCCAGGCTGTTCAAGCCCCAGCCAGGCTGTCAGCTGGGGCATGTCTTTCTGAAATGGATTGCTAATGTGCAAAAGAGTTATTTTAAAAACCAGTTTGAACAAGCATCATAAATACACTTCAAAAAGAGGAAAGATCACCTCAAGCCCCATCTGAGTGAAGAGAGGTGGAATTTCCATTCAGGTCCAGTCTCAAAGGCAGCAGATAAACTTGAGTTGTGCTGGTATCAGACAGTGTGTGCATCCCATGACCCCTCTGTCTTGCTGTGAGAGGGGAGCTTGTACTCTGCTTTCAGTGTTTGGGGAAGGAAGATGAAATTTCTGAAAAACGGAATTGAATTTGGACTATGGAGGCAGGATTTTCTTTTTCTATCTTACTTTGCTGTTGCTGGGTAAGTGGGTGTGTTAGAAGGTGTGATGTGCTGCTCTGTCCCTCAGGTGACATTGTTACATACCGGTGGGAAGTTCCTGAGAGATCTGGTCCAGGGCCAAATGATTCAGCCTGCGTTCCTTGGATCTACTACTCCACGGTGGACACAGTAAAGGTAAAATAGAATTAAGAGCCAGAAAAGCCCAATTAGACCAATTTTTTACCCCATCTAGAAAACAATGTGAGTTGGGTACAGTTTAGGGATTGGTGCAGCCAAGAGGTGGAACCACTTGGTGATACATCGAGTGTCCTCCTGGGAGACGAAATCTTCCAAATTTCTCCTGATGTTTGTCCTTATTTTTTCCTAACAAACCTTCATAAACAAATTCCACTGTCTCCTTGCCACTAACCTTCCTTCAGTTATTTGCAGGATATTAGAATATCTCCCTGTCAGTCATGGTTTCTATTGGTGAGAGCCCTAGGGCTGATCTAGAAAGGCAAAATTGTCCAGACTGAGGTCTTATGGATAAAGCAGGAAGATTTGATTGTTGTTAGAATTGATTGTCACAGTACTGATTTCACAGGAGAAAAAACCTGGAGGATCCTGCAATAAACCATCACATTCAACCCAGAAATAATGGCCTTTTTATCTCAAATTGCAGATGTTTTTGCAATCACAGAGCGGAGAATATCTTGATACCATTCATATTTATGACTTTCAGATTTACATTTGTAAGAGCATCTATGGTTCCTGTGCTTTGGTGGCTGATGCTCTCCGACAAGGCTACTTGCACGGCAGCACCAGGTTTTTTTAAGTGGGGTGATGCAGGAACAGAAAATGATTGTTGAAAGGCAAAGAACTGTGTACAAAAGAGGGTGAGAAGGTCCTTGCCTCAGAGATTTCTCCTTCCTTCTGATTAGGATATGTACAGTGGGCTGATCGGGCCCCTGAAGGTCTGCCGGAGAGGGGCCCTGCAGTCCGATGGGACCAGGAAGGATGTAAAGAGGGAGTTTGCTCTGCTGTTCCTGGTTTTTGATGAAAATCAGTCCTGGTACTTGGAGGAGAATGTGAAACGTTACAGTAAGGGAAATCATGAGGAAATCAGCCTGATGGATGAGAAATTTGTGGAAAGCAACAAAATGCACGGTAATGCCGGTCGGTGTTAACTCTGTAACCTCTCTAAATAGTCAGGCCACCCCAAAACCTAGGAGCCTGACTGTGATGGTTAGGACTTGGCTCCCTGCCAAATGCCCAAACCCTCAGCAGCAATTCCCCCCCTTTCTTCCCCCAGGGCAAAGAACTATGCAAAATTGAAGAACTCGAAATCAAGCTAGTTATATAACAATATATATTTTATGTATATTACAGTTATATACAGTTAAGATGCTATGTACACCGCAAAAGGAATCCAAACACCCCCTGAAGGGATAGGGAAAGGGGAAAAAGGGACAAAAGGGAACAAAAAGGGACACCGAGAACTAGTAAAATAACTAGTAAAACAAATCTCACCACGTCCCTTAGAAAAGCAGGATTGGCAGACACAGCCAGCACTCTGCTATCCTCCACATGGCAGGTCAGTGGATGCTGCAGGCCTCAGCCTTAGATAAGCGAGCCCAACGCAAGGACCCACTGTTCCCGAACCTCACCGGAAGAGAAGCGAGCGAAGGCCTCTCCTCCCTTCTTATTTATACTCTGATTTACGTAAAAATCTGCCCCTTCCTTGGTTACAAACTGGTCACCAGGGAAGGCCTAGATTAAAACCACCACACTGACTCTCGGTGAATGCCCTCATCTTTTTCCCTCATCAGTGGCACAAACAGAATTAAACTGTCTGTTCTCAATATAACAGCACATCTACAGCCCAAATCTTTGATCTGCAGTGAGGGCTGATGATTGTGGCTGTCTCTGTCAGGAGGAATACAACATCCAAGGCCAGAGAGGTTAATCTGTGATGTGTCTGAGTGACTCAGGAAAGGAAATAAAATCAAACATGAAATTAACTTGTCAGACTAATTTAATTCTGTTTGTCTCAGGGACCATCAGAATGTTAGTTTTCAAATTAATTTTCTGAGCTATGTGGCTGCAATACATGGCTCAGTTGTGTTAGCTAATTATCAAAAAGCTATTTCTACCGTGGCAGGATGAACATATTTTTCTAAATTAGCATGTTATTTATGTTAGTTAGGTTTTTTTCCGTATTGTATCTGGATCTATCTAAAATATTCTCAGCAAAACAAGTCCTTTAGCAACTGCGGAGATAAGAATAGTGAGGAGTTGCATTATGTGTGCTGGCGTTACTACTGGTTTTGTATGGCTGAGATAAATACTCTCCAAATACACGTGTCCCTGAAGGTGTAATTTTAACCCAGTATTACAGCTAGCAGAACCAGTAGGCTGAAGTTGGATGCTTATTTGAGGCTACACAAAGTGTCTGTGGGAGATCTGGGAGTAAAACCCTGGTGCTCTGCCCTTAGTTCCCATCTCTTTCCATCTTATTCCCTCTGTTGTCATCTGAGCATGAAAATGAAAGTCTGTGTGTGCCATGGCAGTCAGCTAACTCACTGTGTGGATCCCTTTCCTGCATGCACAGTCACAGCAGGATTCCTTCCAGCTGTGCTACTTGAGAGATAAAGTCCCGCCATGCAGGGATTTTACAAGTGGTTGGAATGTGACATGTGTGGCCAGGCTGAGGCACAGCACCACAGGGCTGCCTGCTGGCAGGACTTACCCCTTGAAGATGTTCACCAAGGAAAGTCCTCAGACATTTATGTGTATGTAGGTATATACATGTTTCTCCATCACTGGGCTAAGGAGGCTGTTTTTATGCATCTTGACTTCTAGAGGAAACCACTTCTGCTGGCTGACTGCAGGTTTACAGAAAGAGGTAGTTTTTGAGATTTATTTGAGCTGAGCTACAGCATGGCCTTGGGTGTGAGTCACTTTTCCTGGCTGTAAGCAGAGTGGAGAAGTAGCTGATCTGGGGAGAGATTGCCAAACTGTTGGGGGACTGTCATGTGGGGGAAACTAACTGCTGATGCACTGGTTGCTTTATGAGCTTTGTGGCCTGTAAATTGCCCTGCATGTTCTTCCTCTGAGGTGGTGCAGCACCTTTACCATTTCACTAACAGCCTTTTCCCCTCTGTGTTATTTACTGCACAGCAATCAATGGCAGGCTCTATGCCAACTTGCCTGGGCTGACCATGTACCAGGGAGAGCGGGTGAACTGGTACCTGCTGGGGATGGGTCAGGAGATTGATGTCCACACAGTCCATTTTCATGCTGAGACCTTCATATACAAGGTAAGAGTATCTGCTGACAGTAAAGCTGATATCAGCACTTTTGCTTGACTCTGGACTTGAATTTTTTTAAGGACTCCACAGCAGTTTCACCCAGCTAGGAAGGGGATGTGGTTTTACACATCTCAGTCTGACTCCCTGAACCTCTGCGATGTGCTGAGATGCCCAGCTTAATCCTTGCTAGGATTAGGCATTACCAGATTGTGTTTGCTTCCCCAGTTGCAACCCTGGAGCTGCTCTTTGAAAGCTTTTCTTTTTTTTTTTTTTTTTTTTTGAGCTTTAAAAAGCTGAGTTGGTCCTTAGTGACACTGGCAGAGTTTTCCTCCTGAGAAGATGCAGAGAGCACTGCAGCTAATGGCCTCTTTTCTCTGACAGAATGGCAAAAGCTATAGAGCAGATGTTGTAGATCTGTTCCCTGGGACCTTTGAAACGGTGGAGATGCTGGTTGGGAACCCTGGGACATGGCTGCTTCACTGTCATGTGTCTGACCATATCCATGCTGGGATGGAGATCCTCTTCACCGTCCTGCCTAGAGCAGGTAGGGAGCTTTCACTGTAACTGTAAAACATCCAGCAGCACTTTCTGCTACCACTGCAAAATTCTGCGTGTTTGCATCACACGTACAATGCCCTTACATTCCATAAGCAGCCAGGTAATGGAGCAGTTAATTACCTAAGTACGGTTAATTTAAGATGTTCCCTTTGGATATGTTAATACCTGGAGCTGGAGTTAATAACAAATTGTTTTCTGGATTTTACATTGCCTACGTCGTTACTGTGGCTTTGATTTTAGCTTGTATCAGAGATGCAATGTTCAGCCCTCAGCCAGTAATTTTTCTTAGAGCTGGAAGGTGCTCAGAGGTGAGTGATACTCAGTACTGGGTTTGACTGTGATGGAGTCCACACGGTGATGTGATTTTAGATTTGTTACCAATCTAAAGAGCTGTGAAGGCCCCAGTGGTTTGGCTATGGGTGACCAGTGCCTAGCCAGTGTTTCTGGCATAAAGCCAGGCCTTCTCTGTTTCTTCCTCAGCACTTTTCTTTCAAAAGCGGGGAAGGGTTGGGTTGTGTTGTGGAACGGGGGCTGCCTCTGAAGCAGGCGATACAAAAATGTTCTTGTCTTACGTGGAGAGGGAAAACACTGACAGGAGAAATGAAAACTTGCAAACCCTGGAAACCATGCTGCCTCTGAATCCAGTCCTCTCCAGATGTGCCCTGTTCTGAGCTCTGCCTGCTCAGCCCAACACCTTCTCACTCTCCTTTTGTTTCCTTTCAGAGTCAGAGCTGGAAGTTGTGAGCGTTACTGCAGGTACGGTGTGGATAGCACTGACAAACCCTGTCTGTGCAAGGGGGAGAGGGCAGATCCCTGAGCAGCACAGAGCTTTGTATCATGCAAGGAGGGGCAGGAACACACACAGCACCCACAGCCTCTCCTCTGCCAACCTGGCAGCACCTCAGCCCAAGGCCTGGCTGCGATGGATAGCAGGGAGAGCTCCAGACTGCTTTGTTTATCTGCCTGCCAAGTGTCTGTGTCCTGGGATAGAATTAAGGAAGTTGGGCTGGTTAGGCTTCTTTGTTTGTGTTAGGTGGAAAAGTTTGGAGACCTTGTACCCTGTTGTGCCTGCTATGTGTGGATTCAGCTTCAGAGGAGAGTGTGAGTTTAGGAACTGGCAGAGACTCAGAGGGTGCTGAAGGAGGGTGCCCGAGATGAGTTGTCCACCTGTCTTGGACTGTCAATGACTCTATGGTTTAGGGAAGTTTCACCATCACCACTACAAGCTGAAGGGATAGACTCAGCATGAAACAAGCACATTTGCCTTCTGCTCTGATATTCCCCTAAGAAAAGAGCCCAAGCTGGTGCCTGGGGTTTTTTGGGTGTTGTAAAGGACAGATGTGAGAAGACATTTGATTGAGGAGCACCAGCAGAAGATACAATCCCTTTGAAATTTTCTGTGGTAAAAGTCTGAGTAGTTTAGGGTGGTGGTTTATTTTCCTGATTTTTCATCTTTCTTCCAAACTCATTGATAATACCTTATTGTTTGTCTCTCAGGGTTGCCATGTGAGGATGAGTTCCAGAAGGTCATGCTTTTTGGATCTAAGGTGGCCCAAGGGCAGATAGAGGCCACAGTCATCGCTCTGGCTGTTGTGGGGGTCCTGCTGCTTCTGGTCGCCAGCATCCTCCTGGGAGCAGTCATCCATCTCGAGAGGCAAAAGAGGTTACGACGCAATCGGAGATCCATCCTGGATGATGGATTCAAACTCATGTCTCAAAAGAATTCAGGGCTCTAAAAGCCATGTACAAACTTTGGATCCTTGTCCACAGAAAAGATTTTGGGGCATCATTTCAATTGTGCACTGTACTTCTAGAAGCTGCGGAGGGGAAGCTGGAACCCTGACTTCTTCATATATCCTTCTCAGCCCTCTGTAAAGAAAATGTCTGTCCGTGAGAGATCCAAGAGATTTGAACTGACTGAAGACAAGTAATGAGTGAAAAAGGTCCTTCTTAAATACTCCTCTTCCCTCGAGAAAGAAGGGAGACGTTTTCTTCTCTCCAGAACAACTCCACTTGGTTTTTCCTTGCAGACTAGCTCAGGCCCCATTCCAGTCTTGCTCCATTGCCAAAACTGAGTTGGGAATTGTCTCCCAAAAAACTGTGAGCCATTAAAGTAATTAATGTCAAGGGGGAGGGAGATAATATTTTCAGTTTTGTGAATCAATTAAGAATACAGAAGAGAAATTGTTAACTTACAGTTGGATTGCTGTTTTTTGATGAGCAAGTAGGCCGACACAAATTCAGGGTAGTGCATGTCACAGTGAGTGCCCCATCAAGGACCATGACAAGAGCTGTGCCTCACTGTCAGCCTTGCTGTGACATGTCCTTCAGCCTCCCTGCAAGCCCCAGGCTGCCTTTGGATTGGGGTCAGGCACCTCCTACTCCCTGTTCTCTCTGCCACAGCTGCCTGCCAGGGGCCAGAGTGGGTGGTGGGACTAACCTCTGTGGCCCACCCCATGGGCTGTGGTAGTCATTCTCCAGTGGCAGCCATCCCCACGTATGTCACTGTCACCTCACCCTGTGGGCCAGGTACCAAGCAGTTCCCTATGAAATACCTGTCTTTGGCTCACCCCCAGGAATTCCCATTATCAAAATGGATGCAGGTTAGTGCTTACATATTTCTGTGCCTGGTTTTAAAGTGGAAAGAGCATAAAAAATCTATTCTGATCGGCTTTCACAGGCAATTAAAGCAGCTAAATGGCTGTAATGACAAGGGACTGCTGGTGGCTTTAGGTATAACAGCACCGTTTTCTTCAGAACAATAGTTATCACATATTTAATCATGTTCAATTCATATTGGGCCCCTGCATATTTCCAGCTGCTTTTTCCTTTGGCAGTGAGAACAAAGCTCATTAATTTCCTTTCATTACACTTCATTAAGCCTGGTGAGGGGCTGAATGGCTGTTGAACATCCATATTCAGAGCATTCTTTGCTCAGATTCAGGCCTGGTTTAGCTGCTGCTACAAAACAGAGCCCATCAGTCCATGGGGAATTTAGAAGCTATGGCATCAGAAATAAGAACCAAGAAGGAAGCCTTTCTTTTTATTTTTTTCACCATGAGCTTGTTAAAAATAGATCAAAAAGGTTTGGGGCCTGCACTGAGACAGAAGAGTGAGTGTAAATGTATTCCCTTGCTTCAGGGCAGCAGAATGGGGGAGTTGCCCTTCCTGAAGCCCATGCCCAGCCTGGGGTTTGGGTGCTGTCTCCAGGCAGGGTGGTAGCACAGGGCCAGGAGCTGCTGCTGCTGAGGACCACTCAGGCTGCACATGGGACATGTGTGAGTCACTGACTATTCTGGGATGTGAGAAGAGCAGGACTGGACATGTGATTATCATACAGCTATCATGAAATTAGCATTCATGGTGTTAAAAATCAAAGTCTGTCCTGGAAATCAATTTGTTTGTTAATTTGCTCCTATTTTGGGGAAAGTAAATCTGTTGCTCGGCAGGTGCTTTATAAATCTGGTATCCTTTGGTGTTCTTGAGAGACAGGCCTGATTTTACATCCTTTAGCTGTGGGAAGGATGGGTGAGATGAAACAGTCACCTATCCCTGAAGACCTCCAGGGAAAGAATAAAGGAGGAGTTCAGTCTGTTGGGAGCAAAAGAGAGCAGGTCTGGTCAAAGATCCTGCTGCGTAAGGAATAGACCAATGTGTGCCATGTGGTAGGCTCAGGAGAGAGAAATTCTCTCTTATTCATTTTCATCAAGTATAACAAAGAAATTATGTCTCTTTGTACAGAAGGATGTTGATACGGGAAGTTTTGCAGTCTGTCACTGTAAGGAGCTGACAGAAAACCCTGCCTGTAGGGCCTTGTCTAGTGGTAAGGGTGCGGCGCTGTCACCGCCGAGACCCGGGTTCGATTCCCGGTCAGGGCCACTCCCGGGCAGGTGGGGTTCGTTAGCCCTTAAAGGCAATCCACCTACGTCCTAAGGACCTCACTGCCACTGTCCAAGCTCGCTTGGCCCCGGCAGATGAACCTTAGAATTAAAGGGTGGGCTCAGTTCCGCGCACACTGTGTCTCACCTAAAAAATCCAATGCGCAGGCTGGAAGGTGTAAAGACCTTCCCCGGATCTTCGCTCGCGAAGACTGGCTATTATTAGGGCCTTCCTATCTGACCCTTATTTTTCATATTTAGGTGTTATTTTCTTCAAATGAAAGCTTTCCTTTTAGAAGCAATCAAAGAGCAGCCATCTTCTTTGGGTCAGGCTGACGTGCTTTGTGAGAAGCAAACAAGCAGAAAGCAAAGCTGAGGATGACAGTGAGCCTGGTGTGTCCCTCCTGCTGCTGGAGGCTGCCCTGGAACAGCAGTGGCCCTGTGTGGGAAGGAGGTCAGGTCACTGGTGAGAAAATTCTACTTCCCTTGTCATTGCCAAATACAGGAAGGTCCTAAACCAAACATAACATGCGGGAGAGGCCACTGGTGTGGGCCCTTTTGTAGTTCAGTCTCCTCAGTTTTGGTGTTTCCCCCCAGTCCTCTCGCAGATCTCTGGGTCATCGTGGCTGGGAGGCAGTGTGGTGAGTGATGTACAGCCAGATTTCAGTGGGCTTATCGAAACCAAGCCTCTTAAACAAGGCTGAGCATGAGGATTGTGATTAGTCCAGTTTACAGACTCTCAGTTTGTTAAACAACAAAAAAACCCAAAGTACGAGAGCATTTGAGTGTTGCATTTGACATTGTGATGTCAAACCTCTATGAAGACAGAAGTGATTTGTTCTGTTTCTGCTGAGCGAGCTCCTCACTGGCTCCTGGGTGTGTCACGGTGATATTGGCTGTGGCAAATGTGATCAGCTGAGTGTGGAGCACAGCATGGAGAGGCAGAATGTGAGAACTGACTGAGGGAAAGTCTGAGGGGTTTTGGAAGGAAGCAAGCTCCCAAAGGAGCCTTAGTCAGGAATGAGAATTGCAGTTTGTGTGCATGGCTGCTGCCCTGGTAGCATCAACCTCTTCTTTTAATTTGGGGTTTGAGGCTGATTGTCCCAGCCCAGTGCTGTGGGTTTCAGGCCCGGGTTAGCCCTCACTGATGCTCCTCACCAGCACCTAAGGCATGTTTTCATTGCTGTCAGAGCACTTAGCACAGACATCAGCACACCTTCCACGCCCTGTGTGTCAGCTCTGGGAACGTGGTGGCACAGAAAACAGGGAAAAAATTGTATTGTCCAAGATGCTGATTAGTAACAGATGGAGCAAGGTGGTGGCTAGAGATTTTCAGGGTTGCTTTTGCCTTCACTTGGCCTGCTTTTCTGTGGCAAAAACAACAAACAAAAAATCCAAACCAAATGGTTATACAGAAATAGTTTCTTTGATTTTTGTTTTACACACTTGCATATCATTTCAGTGCTCTTGAAAATTTGTCCAGCTGCTTATACCTACTAGTGCTTTGCCCTCCAGCAGTTCACCATGGGTTCCAGAAGTCCCTGCCCAGCACAGGTCAAGGCAGCACCATGGATAAGGGGAGAGAAAGGCATCCTTTGTGCAGGGCTGCTTGTTTTGCTTCAAGTTGACTCACACAAATGTTCCAATGACTCAAAAAGAGCTGATATTTGGTTATGGAGACATTCTGTGCTAGGTCTGAGGTTTAGCAATTTAGGTGCTGTTGTTGATAATAAAACCTTTGCACTAATAGCCACTTCCACTCATGGCTCTCAAGGTTTTGAGCATTATCCTGTTAAGTTGGCTGCTGAAGGGGTTTGTAAAACTGCCAAGCACAAAACCCTCTGCCCAGTCTGGGAGAAGTTTGGATGTAATCCAGGGCCTCTTTGCATCAGATTGACTATTAAATTAAAATTTTGCAATACCTTCTGGAGGTGAGATTTGTGTGCAAATCAGGTACACCCCGGTGTCCAGATGCATAAAACCTTTTTTGGCCAGTGTTATAGGTGCTGTTGTTTTGAGGGTATGAAAGGAGACAGCCTGTTCCCAAACAGCTTATTATTTTTGATCTTTCACAGGGCTAAATTCTGGGAAATTTTCAGAAAACACAAAACCTAAGAATGCCATCAATTTTAAAGGGATCAGGACTAGAGCTAAAGACAGGAATAGCAGTGTTCACCTCTAAGCTACTTTTGTAAAATTAGGTGCATTTCTCTGTGTTTTGGCTCAGTCCTTGGTCAGCGCCTTTGGAAGTGCTGGGATATTGTTTAGACTTGGGCTTCCAAATAGCTTTCAACTCAGCTGAGCTGGAGGAAAGCAGTATAAGACAGCAAGTACCTGAATCAAGTACCTGAATCGCCCTCCCCCAGGGGATCCTGCTCCCAGTCACCATGTCCTGGGTGCCCACATCAGCGGAGTGGGGAAAGTGATGCTCTCCCCCCACACACGTCCCATGGGTGCCCAGAGAAGCAGAGCAGGGCTGCTCCGGGTAGAGCCTTGTTCTTCCTAAACCCACCCAACTGTGCCAGGGCTGCCCCTTTTGCTGGCAGCCGTGTAATCACAGCTGTTTCTGGTCTAAACATTGCAGAGTTCCAGGTGCTCATTTTACAGAGAGCAATACTTAATTGGCAATTTCATGAAAGAAGCCTTGCTTGATAGCAAGCAGCTCCTCGAGCGCCCTGGCTGCAGGAAACCCTTTCAGAATAAATCACGTGATTCCTGTTTGTTTGGAAGAAAATTCTTCTATTTTCCATGAGCATGGAGAGGCTTGGAGCCTGAGAGCATCCCCGGAATTTGAGTAGCCTGTGACTGTGGCCAACTCTGCCCTTGTTTCTCCCGTGTTCCCCAGGGTACTGACTCTGGAGTGTAGTCAAACAAATAACTGAAAAGTGAATGGGGAGAAACATTTCTAACTTAGATGATTTGACTCCTCAAATTGCATCTTTCCCCCAGTTGATTTCTGGACAGCTTCAATTACAGCTGTGATCTGTTAATGACCAGAGGAGACATAAGCCCTCAGAGAAGCTGTCTGTGTGGTTAATGCCTGAGTCTGTCCAGCCTGAGGAGAAGGTCCTTAATTTAAGAAATGAGAAGCAGAAAAGAAAAAAATGTAGGAATTTGTAGTCTGTGTTGGAAACCTCTCACGTAGGAAACCTCCCATAGAATTTTGTATTTCTTTTCAAATTTTGACTGTTAGAAAACAGATAAGTCTCAAACTTTATTTCTTTCTCTTCCGTAGTTCTTTCAAGCATTTTTTCCAAGCTGAGAGCCTTATAAATTCCCAGACACAATTGTAGTCTTTGGAGGAAACTAGTTATGATGATGACTGCAGGCCTAGTGTTTCTTCATTGAGATTCATCACTATTAAAGAAATTGAAGACATTACCTTAAAAAAAAATGTGTTCTGGAGGCATGTGAGGTCTCATCAGTCTGCGTCATCAAGCAAAGCCTTTAGGATTAGAAGTTTGACTCAGGCAGTTTTTTCTTTCTGGATCACATGCTTCCCTGCACCAAGGGACTCCTGTTCTCAGTGATTCAGTCCTTTGGAATGGCTTTATCTGTCTTTTAGAACATTTTTCCCTTTATTGTTACAGTTGTTGCTTCCAGGATAGTGAATTGTTCAGCACTTACTAATGGGTCTGGCTGAATTGTGTTCCTTCAGTTTAACAGGGAACATGACAGGGATATTTTTCTTGTCCCTTGCTTATTTTAGCTGGGTGAGGTACAAGGCAGCCTCTTTGGGGGTTTTGACATTTCCCCCCCTTTCCCCCCACTCATTCTTGTTGATCATGTTGCAGAGAAATAAAGAAACATAAAGGCTCCCTCATTATCCTTTCACTGCCAAGTAACTTTTCTGGGATGCTTGTGTGATGGGGAGAAAACCCAGGGATTTGGGGGGTTTTTTCTCTGCTGGGGAGAAGACCAAATCATCCAAGAATGTGAATGTGGCATCTGGCATCTAAAGGAAATAGTAAATGTAAATGTTTTTTTCTCTTGCAAACCAGGAATTGTAATGAGTGCAGCTGGGGCTGTGGCAATGCTATAAGGAGAGAAAACAAAGCAGTGGCTAATTCTGCTTTTCCTGGAGCAGTTGGATAAAGGGCAGTTGAAAAGAGAGAAGGGACTGAATGCAAGAAATGTTTTTCATACTAGGAATGCAAACTAATACAAGCTGGAATAGTCATCAGTGTTTCCAAAACCTAGCCCCTGAAACACTGAAACATTTGAAGAAATGAAAAATTAAAAACAAAATCCCAGAATGAGTAAGAGGCACTGAAAGAGATTGAATACTTTAAAGGCAAGAGAATCCCAGTGGGAGATGCCTGGGCTGGCAGGGCTGTGGAGGGCACTGTGGAATAGGTGAGAGGTGATCTCTTGGGGTGAGCTGCTCCCAGAGCTGACCTCCCCACACCTGAGACAAGGCCAGTTTCTGCTTCTCACTGTCAATCTACTACCACTCTCTTCCCTGAAGGACATTCCCTCTGCACAGGGCCGTGTCACTCAGAGGCATTTGCCTCCTCCACCTCTGTACCAAGACCCCAAACTCAGTAACTGAAGTCTGAGTTGAGAGACTGAAACTGGAAATGTTGTTATTTTAGAGAAATATTTGCTTCTGAAGGAAAGCAATTTTTTTTAAATTATATTTTTAATTGAATGGGGTAAAATTGATTGTCCATAGCTAAAACATCAGATTGTTTTTGATTATGTTTATGTCCTGGTTTTCATTCAGATTTTCAGTGAAAAAACAGCATTTTTAGAACACAAATGCATTGTGCAGAACCCCACCTATTCTCCAATCACTCTCTGAAAAAGAAAGCTGTTTTTAACAGGCAGGTTTCATAACTGTGTTCAGGGCTGATGGCAAATCTCTCTTCAGTAGTGTTTCCTTTCAAATCATATTTTATCTTCTGTATCACTTCTTCAAGGACCAGGGCTCATAATTCCTCTTTGAACATTTGTAGCTGCTAGTAAAGGCCGACTGGGTTTTTTTTTGGCTGTTTTTCAGAAACTTCAAAGCAGTTTTTAGTCTACTCCATCCTCCCACAGCAGTTCCCTTCAAACTAAGGAAAAAAGACATGACAGAAGCTTCCACAGCAACTCCCCTCTCTCTACCAGTGTGACCTGGCTGCTGAACAGCCTGTCTGGCTTTTCCTTCTGGTATTGAATCATCTGGAAAACAAAAAAACCCCAACACGTTGCCTGAACCTGGCAGTGCTTGAATCCATCTCCTGATGAACCATGGCTGGTAGCTGCCATGTCACCACCTCTGTACATCCTGTCTCTGCTGTACCCATTGAGCCTCCTTTGCCAGGAGCCAATCTTCTGGATTAGCACATGTCAAATTCCATGTCCTGAACTGATAGAGAGTCCCTTGGTTTTACTTTACAGCCATTTATGGTCATAGGGAATAACATGAAATTTTAGAATGTAACTTTGTCCTTTCTCGCTGTTGGGAACGATGTGTCTCTACCTGCCTCGAGCACTTTGCTGTGAGTGACCTGCGTGTGCTAAGCTGGTCTCCACTGTGTGTCTGGCACATGGAATTACAAATAATTGCAGGTCCATTCGAGAAGTCATGGCAAACCTGTCAGGTACGTTGTACAGAGCTTCATAAAGGCAATGGCCTGACTCTTCCTCTGGCTCTGGGGCGTTCTCCCTTGCCAGATGAGGGACGCTCAGCTAACCCAGGCTGCTCTCTAGGAGAGGACATGATCCATAACAATACAGCATTTAGACCCAAGGTCATGCAGCTTCTCCCCCATGTTCCAGTTCACTGTGAATAATTTATGTCAGGCTTCACTGCAGAAAGGCTGGTCCATCGTATTCAGTCATTTCCAGCTCCTAACTCAACCATCAATGCCCTGGTATCCCACGTGTCTTCCATTGTCTGTCCCTTCCCTCTGTCTGCAGCTTGAGAATCCAATTACACTGCTTTCAGGAAAGCTCTGAGAATAAAAGCTCAAATACTCTTTCAAGGGGATGTAATTCAGTATCTGGCAGAGACAGTCTGTGCCCAGCACCTTCCTCCTATATTTTTTCCCCACAAAGAGGGATTTTATCTCTGTGAAAAAAACAAAAGCCATTGAGACTGGTAAATTTACCACATCAAGAGTGGTAAATTTTATGGCTTTGCCTAAAGGTCTGCCCTCAGTAGATGAAAACCTTTTGTAAAAACTGGGTTATATCTGCAGTGACTCTCACATATTGTGAGAGGAGTGTGAGAGGAAGCGCAGGGTTAGTAATGTGAGTGGGATGGAAGGACATGCAGGTGACCCTCGTGCTGCTGAATGGACCTCTCCCTCCACGGGAGCCAAACCTTGGCACACCTGCACAAAAAGGCATCACTTATAGTTGTGGTTTTGAATGTAGCACCTGTTTGAATTACAGAACTGCTTTTTTTAATGCATGGCTGGGGTATTCACTCCATTATCACCAAATCTGTTTTATTTATTAAGTCTTATTATCAGGTCCATGAAATGTCCTGCAAAACACCTGTGCCTATTCATCCCACCTTTTCTGAGTCAAAAAAGCAGGACTAGACATTGCAAATGAAGAGGAATACAGTGTCCTCAGTGCAGTCAAGCAAATATGAAAAGAGAGTTTCAGGATCATGGTTTCTGAGTATTGTTCAAACTCTTATTTCCAACACACTATTTGAGTAAAATAAAATCCCAGGGTTTGGCCTACAGCTCTTGTTTCTTTTATTTATCAAACCTGTATTTAAAACAGGAAAGTGTAAACTATGAATCTCTTGAGGGAAGAGGAATCTTTCAAGAAGCTGCCTGGTACAACAGGTGCATTGAATGAATTTTTCCTCATTTGGACTTGGCAATTTCAGCTGTTGAATTTTCTCCCTCTGGACAAGGTTCAGGCACTGAAACTTTCTGTCTGCTCCAGCTGCGTTCAGCTCTGAATGGCAGAGCAGAGACATTTTCTTTATCAAGCCAGAGATCTCCTTATGGCACCAGCAGACCTTGGTTTGGGCTTTGCCATGCTTCCCCCTGTCCACGACACAGCTCCGGCCAGGAGCACAGGGGATTCTCTTGGAGGCCGAGCACTTTCTCAGTGAGTGCTCTGGGGACCAACTCTGCATGTGCTGAGCCAGAAAAAGACACAGTGGGAGTAGCACTTTAGCAGCTCTCACCTTTCCCAATTATGTGGGAAGCCTGTGCTCAGCACCAGGAGTGAAGCTCCTGGAATGGAGATTATGACAAGAAGCCAGAAAAAAAATAGGACATTTGGAGTGCGATGGGAACTTCTACAATGGAAAAAGTTTTAACACAGTGGCCTTGTATTTACAGGATTTCTCTTGTGACCTCTTGTGAGATCTTTACATACCTCATAAATGTGAAATATCATAGAATATGTCAAGTTGGAAGCTACCCACAAGGATCACTGAGTCCAACTCTCAGCCCTGCACAGGACAAACCCAATAATCCCACCCTGTGCCTGAGAGTATCATCCAAATGCTTCTTGAGCTCTGTCAGCCTTGGGGCTGTGCCCACTGCCCTGGGCAGCCTGTTCAGTGCCAACCACCCTCTGGGGGAAGAACCTTTCCCTGAGATCCACCCTGAGCCTGCCCTGACACAGCTCCAGACATTCCCTGGGGGCTGTCCCTGGTCCCCCCAGAGCAGAGCTCAGTCCTGCCCCTCCTCTGCCCCTGCCCAGGAAGGTGTAACTGCAGTGAGGTCTCCCCTCAGTCTCCTCTGCTCCAGCTGAACACACCAAGTGCCCTCAGTGTCCTCACAGGGCTTCTCCTCAGGGTCCTTCATCATTCTCATTGCCCTCCCTTGGACATTCCAATGGCTCAATCTCTCCCTTCCATTGTGTCCCCCCAGACTGCCCCAATACTGCAGCTGAGGCCACCCCAGGGCAGAGCAGAGCAGGACAATCCCCTCCCTGGCCTGGCTGGCGATGCTGGGCCTGATGCCCCCAGGACAAGGTTGGCCCTCCTGGCTGCCAGGGCACTGCTGACTCAGGGCCAACTGACCACTGACAAGGACCCCCAGGGCCCTTTCCCAGCACTGCTTTCCAACCTCTCGTTCCCACTCTGTTGGTACATCCGGGATTGCCCCATCCCAGGGGCAGAATCTGCCCCTTTTTAAACTTCCTATGGTTGGTGATTCTCAGCCCTCTGATCTGTCCGGGTCTCTCTGCAGGGCCTCCCTGCCCTCAAGGGAGTCAACAGCTCCTCTGAGTTTTGTGTCATCTGCAGCCTTGCTCAGTGTCCTTTCCAGTCTGTGTCCAAATCATTGATGGAGATGTTAGAGAGTACAGGGCCCACGATGGAGCCCTGTGGATCCCCACTAGTGACAGCTTACAGTCTGATGTCACCCCAATCAGTGTCACCCTCTCTCCCCTACCCGAGAGCCAGTTGCTCACCCCCCACATGATGTGTTTATCCAGCTGTGGGATGGACAGTTTGTCCAGGAGGATCCTGGGAGAGACAGGATCGAAAGTTTTACTGAAATCCAAAAAGATCACATCAACTGGCTTCCCTTGGTCAACCAGGTGGGTCACCTTGTCATAGAAGGAAATCTGATTTGATATAAGAATCTGCAGGGACATGTGGGGGCAATTTTATTCAGCTTTCAAGCTCAGTACTCTAGTAATGAAAGCATTTTCTGAATGTCCTCATGGGAGCAGGCAAGGACAACATCTGAATGTGTGCACCCACTGAACCCATGGTAACAGCCTGGGGAAAACGGCTGCATTGCTATTATGATTTGCCTCATCATTAAATTCAGTCCAATAATGGAGATGAATCATATCTTTAGAAGTAATTTCTTTAAAATTAGCTTAAATTCAGGTGCAAAAGTGACCTTGACCCTGGATGCTTTTACATGTTCTACAATGACTGTGACTGCTGAATTATCTCTGTCAGGCAGGAAAAAGTCACTGCAGGGAAGTACAGGAAAGATACCATAAAGCTGCCAAGCCCAGGGACTTGTCCCCAACAGCCCTTTGGCCTGAACTGTGGCAATGACCTATGAAAATGCTTGAAAACTGGTGTTTTATTGTTTCCAATAATCTGAAATTTTATAGTACAGCTCTAATTTCTCTGGCCCTCATCCACACTAGTCTGTTGATGAGATAACATTAGATCACACTAAATCTGTTCAGAAGATGGATCTGCATCTCAACTGACATTTCAGCAATTTTGAAAGAGCACCAAAAAGGAAAATCTTTGTATGTTCTTTGTCTGCTAAAAGATCTGGGATGGAGAGAAAGAGCGATACTGTGAAATAGTAAAGATTCTTCACCCCATGTAGCTGTTGTGCTGGGTGCCCAGAAAGGAGAGAGCAGACAGGAGGGATCATGGCACATCTGCTCTCTGTCTGTGTTTTGCTGCTCTGTAGATCTGCACGTCAGACTCTGCTGTTGCCCACATGTGGGTTGTGATACACCTCAGGATAAACTGGGAAGAGATCTGCCATTGGCTCCTTCCCACACGGTGTGTCATCTGGCAGCTGTGTATATCACAGGGAACACAGCGACCACTCGGCTGCTGAGCAAAGCTGCTTCACTGGGTAGTCAGAGATACTTGGAGTGGGGAAAGCAATGGAAAAGGCAGCCCTTGCTTTTTTGATTCTGACAAGCTCTGAAAACTCTTGGGAAACAGAAACCTGATGGGTAAAGGACTGTGTGGAGAACCAATAAAGCTGATTTCCAAGGATAAGTGGCAGATAGAAGAACAGTGCTCAAAAAGAAATATTCAGTAGGATTTCTTCATTGGTGCAGAGGGAAAGTGTTTGGGGATCTCTGATATTTCAGCCTCCGAATCAGCTTTCGTGTGGGAGACGTGTGGTATTAAAAAAGGACAGCAGAAGGAGAGCTCCTGGGGCGAATCTGACGTGTCCTCAGCACAGGAAGAAGGACCCAATTATCAACTCTTTTCTCTGGTTTGCAACCATGGGGCAGATTTTCAAAAGGCAAGTGTTCCCTCCTGCATCCACTGGCTTTAGCAGCTGAGCTGGCAGAAGGTGCAGAGGAGTGTGACGAGTGCTGGGGCCCTGCTGCCCCAGCCATGAGCCGGCACACCTGGTTCCCCCTGCAGTATATCCCCAAGCCCTTCTGGAGGGTGGAGAACGACAGCACAACCAACTTCTTCTCTGCACTGTATGGCTTCCCTAACCAGTCCTTCTTGCACAATGACTTGGACCTGGAGGACCTGGGGGACTTTGACAGTGGGGCCAAGTATGAGGGCGAGTCCCAGAGCCGGATGGTGAAGGCACTGCTGATCATCGCCTACTCCGTGATCATCTGCATCTCGCTCTTCGGCAACATCCTGGTGTGCCACGTGGTGATCAAGAACAAGAGGATGCACTCTGCCACCAGCCTCTTCATCGTCAACCTCGCTATTGCCGATGTGATGATCACCATTCTGAACACCCCCTTCACACTGGTGAGCCCCAGCCGGCCGTGTCTGCTGGTGTCTGTGTGTGCCTGTCAGCTGTGTGCAGGAGGATTGAAGGGGCCAGGACTGGGCTGGTATCCAGTTTCTTTTGCCCCTTCCCCCTTTTGCCTCCCAGAGAGGCTGCAGTTGTGCTCCCCCTCCCCAACACCCCCTTAGCAAGTGGAGATGGGGGCTCATGCTCCCACCTCACGTTCCGTAGCAGGGGTCACTTTGCTGCAGGCCACCCCGCTCTGTCCAGGCAGGGCACAGATGTGGGAGATCTGTTGATGGGGAATGAAGTGAAGACTAGTTTGATATGATTAAAATCCAATTAATGGCCTGTTTCCTACGGAAACCATGCGAACATGGTCAGTCCCTGTGCAATATCTTAGGGAAGTATTTGGGCTGCACTGAGCTGGGTCAGCCAGCACTCCCTCAGCACTACAGACAGTGCTTCCTGGGCTGATTGTCCTTTCTTTATTTTCAGTGACTAAAAAATACACAATATAAAAGAACATTAAAGAATAGGTGGGAAGAAGTAAAGATTCATTTCTTGTCCCGCTATTACAGACCATAAACATCATGTAAGCAGGGCTCTGCAGCTGGATTTGACCTAGAACTCTGATTCAAAAGCATCCAAATAGTCCTAAATTCCCCTGCTTCATCCCTGCTCAGCGCTATCCAGAGTGTTCTTCATCCTTCCAAAAGCAGGTCCCAAATGAGATATTCGAATTCACGCTGATCCCGTTTCTTTGGTGGGATTTCCCTACCTTGCTCTGATGGGACTTGCGCTCTGTAATCTGTTCAGGGAGAGGCTGATGCCCTCTTGTGTGTGCACCAACAGCCACACACTATGCACGACTAATTAAATATCCATCAGCTCTCTCAGGAATGAGCTTTAGATCAGCTCCAGAGAACCAGCGCACTGCTCCAGTGCAGGGACAGTCAGTGCTGTGAGAATCATCCCTACAGGGAAATTAATTAGATTAATTGAAAACAGTCTTGACTAATTTTCTGTGTGGACAGATACTTTGTAGTAAATGTGCTTTACTTCAAATTAGCTTAATCTGCTGAAGGATGACTCACATTAATTTGTAATTAATATTGTGCAGTCAGGAATAACAAGGGAGTGAAGCAATTTGGCACAATTGTCTCTGCAGCAAAGTCATTATCAGTAACACCTCTCTAGGAACAGGATTTCTCTTGCTAATTTTGAAGCCCATGCAGCTCTCAGCATCCATGTGTTCAGAGGTATAAATGTTTTCGAGGAAGCACCCGGTGTGCCCTACAGAGCGTCTTTGAGGAGCAGAGCTAAGGTTTCTTTACATGTTCCTGAAGGGCCATGGTACATGGACATGTACACATGCACACACAAACACATACACAGAGCGCTGCTCAAGCCATTTGTTTGCACAGTGCAGTAGATCTCACCACTGTTTCAAAGCCCATTGCACAGTCATTGTTTCTGCAGGAAAAACTGAGGATAAAGCACCTACAAAGCCTTGGGAAGCTGTATTAAAACATTTCTTCTGTACCATGTGCTTGGGAAGTCAGTTTGCTGCTCTTCAGGTACTGGTCCTGGTAATGCAATATTGTCTGTTCTTCAGGTG